TCTTGAACTCTCGAGCTCAAGTGATCCTCCTGCCTTGGCCTACCAGAGTGCTAGGATTGCAAGCATGAACCACCATGCCCCACCTCAGAAACTATTAAAGACAGTTCAATGTTTAAAGTTACTGTCAAGTGAAATGTATGTCAGGTACACTTACATGTTGTACTTTTTCCAGATGTGCAAGAAAGTGTAAACAATTCTACATTCCTTCATTGTAAGAAACAACCCTGCTCACATTTGTGTGCCTGAAGACATTTTTCGACCATTTTTCGTAACAAGCCATGGTTTCAGCTCAGTGTACCTTATACTGTCAGCCGACATTTGGACTTTTTAACTCAAAGGGAATAAAGTTTTTTGTTTTTTTTTTTTTTTTTTTTTGGAAAACAAATAGGTGCAGAAAAATTGATTACCACCAACTAAGCCAAGGAAATTCCCTATGCAAAGGGTGAGTCAGGGACAGAGGTGGCCAATGAGGACTGACAAACAGCAGCCTTCCTCTGGGAGTCTGTGGCCCCGTGAGTGACATGTTTAGGACTAACTGGGGACAGATCAGGATGCTGGCAGGAAAAGGGAGCAAAGGGAGGAGGAAGACGACAGGTAAAGGCTGGGAGTGACAAACACAAGTGACTTATGTCCAAAACAGGATGTCCTGACAATTTTCTCAGGTTGAAACTTACATAAGAACTCCCACCCTGGTCTGGATAAGACAGGAAGCTGGCCTTGGGTGAGCTCCCTGAGAAGCAGGTCCCTGCCCTCCCGTGGACCAAGCCCATCGCTAAGCACCCCAAATCCTCACATGGCCTTTTATGCCTTTCTCAGTGAATGTCAGTCAGCCAGTTGTCAACTGCGAGGGTAAAGTTCAAATGAAAGGCAAACCAGGGTTTGCCTCACAGCGATCCGCTTTCCAATTATTCACAGTTAAAGTTACTAGAACACATGCAGTCTATTCCATAGGAACTCTGGTAACAGTCAGGTACACTAATGTACCAAGAGTGACAGTTTTGTACAGCTCAGAGCTGAAACTGCCACTCATGATGGAGGAAATTGCTACAAAAGCAGATTCCTAGGCCCAAGTGTGCGGATGGCTATGCTAAAGATGGGCCTCAGAGTAAATGAGAAGAAGCATGGATATAAGACTAAATTTTTTTTTTGAGACAGAATCTCACTTTGTCACCCTGGGTAGAGTGCTGTGGAGAGCAATCTCAAACTGTTGGGCTTGAACAACTCTCTGCCTCACCTTCCCTG